CGATTTGACCAAACATTTTCTAACAATGAGTTAGACTAGAATTTTGTACACAAATTTGTTTACATCCGTTAATGAGCATTTCTCCTTTGCCAAGATAATCCATCCACCTGACAGGTGTGGCATATCAAGAGGCTGGTTAAACAGCATGATCATTACACAGGTGCACCTTGTGCTGGGGACAATAAAAGGCCAATCTAAAATGTGCAGTTTTGTCACACAACACAATGCCACAGATGTATCAAGTTGAGGGAGCGTGCAATTGGCATGCTGACTGCAGGAATGTCCACCAGAGCTTTTGCCCCAGAATTGAATGTTCATTTCTCTACCATAAGCCGCCTCCAACATTGTTTTAGAGAATTTGGCAGTACGTCCAACCGGCTTCACAACCTCACCAGGGTCTTGACCTGACTGCATTTCGGCGTCGTAACCGACTTCAGTGGGCAAATGCTCACCTCGATGGCCACTGGCATGCTGTGGAAGTGTGCTCTTCACGGATGAAATCCGGTTTCAACTGTACCGGGCAGATGGCGTTGTGTGGGCGAACGGTTTGCTGATGTCAACGTTGTGAACAGAATGCCCCATGGTGGCGGTGGTTATGGTATGGGCAGGCATAAACTACGGACAACGAACACAACTGCAATTTATCGATGGCAATTTGAATGCACAGAAATACTGTGAAGAGATCCTGAGGCCCATTGTCGTGCCATTCATCCGCTGCCATCACCTCATGTTTCAGCATGATAAATTCTAAAAAATGAATAGCGGAAAAGTGGTGCGTGCATATGTATTCGCCCCTTTGCTATGAAGCCCCTAAATAAGATCTGGTGCAACCAATTACCTTCAGAAGTCACATAATTAGTTAAATAAAGTCCACCGATATTGCCACTTCTATTTGCCATATTTTCAATTTAAGCCTACTAGAAAGTGTGTGCCCTCAGGCCTGGAGGGAAGCAAAAGTCAGTCCGCTACCTAAGAATAGTAAAGCCCCCTTTACTGGCTCAAATAGCCGACCAATCAGCCTGTTACCAACCCTTAGTAAACTATCGGAAAAAATTGTGTTTGACCAGATACAATGCTATTTTACTGGAAACAAATTGACAACAAACTTTCAGCATGCTTATAGAAAAGGACATTCAACAAGCACAGCACTTACACAAATGACTGATGATTGGCTGAGAGAAATTGATGATACAAAGATTGTGGGGGCTGTTTTGTTAGACTTCAGTGCGGCTTTTGACATTATCGATCATAGTCTGCTGCTGGAAAAACCTATGTGTTATGGCTTTACACCCCCTGCTATATTGTGGATAAAGGGTTACCTGTTTAACAGAACACAGAGGGTGTTCTTTAATTGGAAGCCTCTCCAACATTATCCAGGTAGAGTAAAGCCAGTGTGTCTATGTATGCGGATGACTCAACACTATACACGTCAGCTACTACAGCGACTGAAATAACTGCAACACTTAACAAAGAGTTGCAGTTAGCTTCGGAATGGGTGGCAAGGATTAAGTTAGTCCTGAATATTTCCAAAACTAAAAGCATTGTGTTTGGGTCAAATCATTCACTAAAACCCTAAACCTCAACTACATCTCGTAATGAATAATGTGGAAATTGAGCAAGTTGAGGTGACTAAATTGCTTGGAGTAACCCTGGATTGTAGACTGTCATGGTCAAAACATATTGATACAACAGTAGCTAAGATGGGGAGAAGTCTGTCCATAATTAAGCGCTGCTCTGCCTTCTTAACAACAATATCAACAAGGCAGGTCCTACAGGCCCTAGTTTTGTCGCACCTGGACTACTGTTCAGTAGTGTGGTCAGGTGCCACAAAGAGGGACTTGGGAAAATTGCAGTTGGCTCAGAACAGGGCAGCACAGCTGGCCCTTAAAAGTAGGAGAGCTAACATTGATGACAAGCGTGTCAGTCTCTCCTGGCTCAGAGTGGAAGAGAGATTGACTTCATCACTGCTAGTTTTTGTGAGAGGTGTCGACGAGCTGAATGTACCGAGCTGTCTGTTTGGAATACTGGCTCACAGCTCGGACACCTATGCATACCCCACAAGACATGCCACCAGAGGTCTCTTCACAGTCCCCAAGTCCAGAACAGACTATGGGAGGTGCACAGTACTACATAGAGCCATGACTACATGGAACTCTATTCCACATCAAGTAACTGATGCAAGATTTTTTTTAAACAGGTAAAAATACACCTTATGGAACAAGCGGGGACTGTGAAGAGACACACACACACAGGTACATACACACACACATATAGACACTCACTCTACACACACGTACACATGGATGTTGTATTGTAAATATGTGATAGTGGAGTAGTGGCCCGAGGGAACACACTAAATGTATTGGGTAAAGTGTTATGAAATATAATGTCATGTAATATTTTAAATTGTACATAACTGCCTTAATGTTGCAGGACCCCAGGAAGAGTAGCTGCTGCCTTGGCAGCTATTGGGGATCCTTAATAAATACAAATACAAATCTAAGTGTCACATGATCTGTCACATGATCTCAGTATATATACACATGTTTTGAAAGGCCCCAGAGTCTGCAACACCACTAAGCAATGGGCACCACCAAGCAAGCGGCACCTTGAAGACCAACGAGCTCTCCAAACAGGTCAGGGACAAAGTTGTGGAGAAGTACTGATCAGGGTTGGGTTATAAAAAAATATCAGAAACTTTGAACATCCCATGGAGCACCATTAAATCCCTTAATAAGAAATGGAAAGAATATGGCAGCACAACAAACCTGCCAAGAGAGGGCCGCCCACCAAAACTCACGGACCAGGCAAGGATTAATCTGATAGGCAAGAAAGATACCAAAGATAACCCTGAAGGAGCTGCAAAGCTCCACAGCGGAGATTGGAGTATCTGTCCATAGGACCACTTTAAGCCGTACACTCCACAGAGCTGGGCTTTACGGAAGAGTGACCAGAAAAAAGCCATTGCTTAAAAAATAAAATAAGTAAACACGTTTGGTGTTCGCCAAAAGGCATGTGGGAGACTCCCCAAACATATGGAAGAAGGTACTCTGGTCAGAAGAGACTAAAATTGAGCTTTTTGGGATGCTCTGGATCGATGTGTGCAACAGCGTTTTCCAGTTCCCCCCAATATCCAGCAACTTCAAACAGCCTTTGAAGAGTTGGACAACATTCCACAGGCCACAACCAACAGCCTGATCAACTCTATGCGAAGGAGATGCTGCACGAGGCAAACATTTTTTTTTTAAAAGGTATCTGTGACCAACAGATGCATATCTGTATTCCCAGTCATGTGAAATCCATCGAATAGGGCCTAATTTTTTTTTTTTTCAATTGACTGATTTCCTTATATGAACTGAAACTCAGTAAAATCTTGAATTGTTGCATGTTGCATTGATATTTTTGTTCAGAGTAGTATCAGTTCTCTATATTTAACAAGTAGTATGGAGCTGCGGCTTGGAGTGTTGTTTCTTCATTCTATGTGAATTTGGTGATTTTGTTTTTTCTGCCTGTTCAGAGAAATTAGTCATTGAAGTTGTTAGGTTAATGTCCCATTCTACATCCTGATATTACCACAGGACGAGCCACAGCTCCATACTACTTGTCAGACATATAGAACTGATACTACATACTGGTTGTTAGGGAACGATTGGTGTGTTTTATTTTTTATTTTTTTATTTTATTCCTTATGTCTTATTGTTAGGGAAAAAGTTTAGTCCAAATCAGATGTTTGGGTGCAACCAATTTAGCTTAATCTCAAAGAGATCAAATTATATTTCTACAAAATAATGTTGCAGGAGTGCTAATCTTATCTGTTTTTTAACTACAGAAAAGATTTCAGAACGATCTGAGATGGTGGGTGTCATGGCTTGCTGAAAGGACACGGAACGACCCCTTAACCTAATTTGAACCAATTCTGAAATGAAATATCGGTTGCAGGTCAGGAGTGTCTGTATAGCCTTTTCCATGCAGGTAAGAACTAGCACAGCATTCTAGAACCACTCTAGAACTATATCAATAGAACAGGCCATGCAGGAGAGAACCAGGAGAAGGAGAAACTTGTTCGTTATGTTAAGAGTGGACAAAAGTGGTGAAGATATACTATCAGAATGATGTGCACGAGTGGCGCATCGGTCTAAGGCACTGCATCGCAGTGCTTGAGGCGTCACTACAGACCCGGGTTCGATCCCAGGCTATCCCAGGCTGTGAGGCGGCGCACAATTGGCCCAGCGTCGTCCGGGTTAGGGAAGGGTTTGGCAGGCCGGGATTTCCTCGTCCCATCGCGATATAGCGATTCCTTGTGGCGGTCCGGGCACCTGCAAGCTGACTTCGGTCGCCAGCTGGACGGTGTTTCCTCCGACACATTGGTGCGGCTGGCTTCCGGGTTAAGCGAGCAGTGTGTCAAGAAGCAGTGCGGCTTGGCGGGGTTGTGTTTCGGAGGATGCATGGCTCTCGACCTTCGCCTTTCCCGAGTCCGTAGGGGAGTTGCAGCGATGGGACAAGACTGTAACTACCAATTGGATATCACGAAATTGGGGAGAAAAAGGGGTAAAAGTACAAAAATAATAATAAAATAATGATGTGCAAAGACATTTATTCCAAAATAGCCTTCGATCATTACAGCTTGGAACATCGATACTAAATTCTGACCTTTGACCCTGCTATCCCCAGACCCTGATCTGTGATGTCCATGCCATGACCAGTGACCACCACAAATGGACACAGGTGAGCTACCAAGGTCATACAAACACCAACAAGATGGTATAGGAATACTGAGAAATGTTCTGAGACATCATTCAGTGATGGGGGAGATACTTGATCTTACTGAATCATATCTGATTGACCTCTCCTCTTGTCCTTTTCTCATTATCCCTCTTCTCCTCTCCTCTCCTTTCTTCTCCTCCTCTCTCCTTCTCTCTCCTCTCTTCTCCTCCTCTCTCCTCTCTTCTCCTCCTCTTCCTCTCTTCCTCCCATTTCTCCTCCCATCTCTCTCCCCCTCT